ATTCCTCCGCTACCCAACAAGGGTATGTCACGGTCACACAACGCCGAGCAACCTGAAGATACCTACGCGCGGCCCCCACGACGGTAGATGCAGCTGCGACAACGGACGGTTGGGCTTAGAAGACGGATGGATAGATGGATTGTATCAGTAGAGTAGTAGGAGACTGTCATACATGATTCCACGGACAATCATTTAATAGCACGAAGTCACGGTCAGAAATTCAGAATGAATGCAAGTGTGAAATCAAAGATTTCAAATGAGGGTGTGAGAACGACAAAGATGCATCAGAGTCGCACCTTGGTTCTGCAGGCCTCCCGTTGTGAATCAACGAGAAGGTGAGTGAAAATTTACAATTATTAGTAGATGTTGAGGGATATCCCGGCAGGCGCACGCGCCTGCCGGGAAAATTTACAAACTTTACCGTAAATTTTTCACTGTCCCGCACTTCACTCACTTTACCCACCAGAATTCGCACTTTACTGCACTTTACTCTACCTCGCCTGTCCCTCCGCCCTCCCCATCCTACTCAGTTGCCATAAATGGTGACTTAGACAATACGGTCACATGACACATGATGTCTCTTCTCCGTCGCCTCCCATCTTCCTTGACGGTCGTTAACGTTGGCCCCCCGTATTGCACACACCCTTCCCCAGTAGCGAAATTTATAGGTAAGTGATCTTCCTTTATTGCTCGCTTACCCCGCTGACCCTGCGCCAGAATTCTCCCTGTTCGTTGTGAAATTGTCCTGGGTATCCTATTCACTCAGCCGCAACAGTCTACTAGTCAACAAAGACAATCATCGTGAGTTCCTTTCGCATTGTTCTAATTCAAATTGGTGTTGACATATCGCAGGATGATGAGGTTAGTCAAAGGTACTTATATTCAGGGTGGCTTCAATGACATTCGAGTAGTACCACACCCATAACCGGACCTGCACCTTTTTCAAAATCTACGAAGTTTAATGATCTTCCAGATGATATCAAGAGGACGTTTGAAACTATCGAGTACGCTAATCATAAGTGCTAACATGTCCTAGGACTTACTTCGCATAGCTCGCACATTCAGGGATGTATACAAATAAGCAACGAGCTTAAACAGCGAAAAATGGGGGAAGAGGCGATCAAGGGCCAGGAGTTAATTTGCGAATTGCACAAGGTGCGCCTCATTTTATTGCATATATCCAGTATGTTCGGTTACCGACTTTATCGATTCAGGAGCTGCTTGGTGTATCCTCCGTTATTCAGTCGGACTCTCTCTTCACCAAGGACCTGAAAGTGAAGACTGAACAAGCAGTTCAAGACACGATTGTCGCAACCAACATCATCGAGGGCTTTAAAAAACCCGCATCAGAGCGCAGCATATCTCAAGAATCATGCTTCGTTCCCTCTGGAGTATGTGTAGATCATCGATGTGAAGTAACTTGAAAGTGTTGACATGTTGCTGGCTAGATTCTTCACCCGTGTCATGCAAGAGATGCGGGAGCATCTGCAGTGGTTCAAAAACATTATCGAAGTATGATGCCGTATTTTTGGTAACACCCTGAAGTATTCTAATACATCGAATAGCAAATTGAGCGGAAACTATCTGCATCGGCATCCCAATCTCAAAATACACCCCAAGGTTAGACTTTCCTTCGCTCCACCCTCATCCTCAGCTTACATTTCGCTGTGTTGTCTTGACAAGACATTGAAGACTACCAAAACCTACGATCGACATCACGAGAGCCTATGAAATGTGAGTCATGCTTTCGAAATCGTTTGGTTACGAGGACTCACATAGTCCCGTCATTCCAGCTACACTCTCTACCTACTGAGGATTGTGCTCTGTGCTAGCTAACCTCCTCGCATACAATTGACTTTGGCCGAAGAGATAGAATCGCTGGCATCGTCTCTTTTGTCCTTTGGATTCCCCTGTGTAAGATATCTCTGCCAGGTGTCTCTCGCCACAATATTCAATCGCTTCAGTTCTGCTCGTGCGTCACCTTGTAAGTCAGAATTCAGTGTCCTAGATGAAAACCATCTCAGAATTGCTGCGTGGCTCAATTTAGGTGTGCGTGATAACATTACATAGATACTCTGAAGGGAACGCGCCCATGTCAAATCCACAATGACTCGGTCTAAAGAGCTTCCTTGCACCTTGAAATCTGTGAATGCCCATCCTGGCACAATTGGAAGTTGCGTACATTGAATATTGATTATTTTTTCACCTGTAGGATATCTAAAACTATTTGTCACAGGCAGAACGGGTACAACACCACGGTCCTGAATCTCGACGGTCGTTAACGTTGCCCCCCACATGGTGTGCTACTGTAACACTGCGGTTTTGTGTGATTAGAAGGTACAATCAAACTTTTTCAGCATACCTTTGACTGACATTCTCATCTAGAAACACTACTACTATTCGTCATATGATGATACTGCCTTGGATCATTGCCAGAGTCATCTTTCGTGTAAGTCTTTGTTTACTTGTTCCTCCTTCAAGTTCTACTTGGAACATTCCATCATCTCTTCCCGAGCTGGCAGGCCTTCTGTAGGTGAACCAACTCGGTAGGTTGCGCATGTCCGGACAAGCCTTTTGTAGGTTATCTGGATGTCCAGTGTGTGACGTACTCATACTCTGAGTCCCTTTGCTTTTTGAATCTGACTTGGGGCCGTTTTTTTAATGCTAATATTCATTTCAACCGCTTCAGCAGGAATCCGTTGGCTGGACCCAGTGTCCCATTCTTGGAGGGATGTCCAGCAATAAAGAACTTCTTCAAGGGTGCTTCTGTCACACTCGTCCACCAGTTTCAGACCGCCGCCCCTTGCTGTTCTCAAGCAGAACGACGTTCATGCACCAGACCTCCGCCCAGATTCGCCACAGTTCAGCCAGTTGAAGAACTCCTTCAAGAGCGTTCTGTCACGCTCGTCCACCAGTTTCAGACCGCCGCTCTTGCTGTTCTCAAGCAGAACAACGTTCATGCACTGGACCTCCGCCCAGAACTCCTTCAAGGGCGTTTCTGTCACGCTCGTCCACCAGTTTCAGACCGCCACTCTTGCTGTTCTCAAGCAGAACAATGTTTGTGCACTGGACCTCCGCCCAGATTCGCCACAGTTCAGCCAGTTCAAGAACACCTTCAAGGGTGCTTCTGTCACGCTCGTCCACCGGTTTCAGACCACCGCTCTTGCTGTTCTCAAGCAGAACGACGTTCGTGCACTGGACCTCCGCCCAGATTCGCCACAGTTCAGGCAGGGCATTTCTGTCATGCTTGTCCCACGGCCGGGCCTCGAAAATATCCAAGGATTGGTTGCCAATGCTGGAAACTTTGAGTTTGAGACACGATGGTCAAGGTAGGTTTTCATACGAATCACATCCATAACAGCTTCTCTCAGCGTGAGTGCAGGACTACTTCAAGAAAGCTTGGGTCGCGGCAGCAGCATCATGGTTCTGTATGCGCTAGTGTTTGGTTGGCAGATGGTATCCTACGGTACTCACTCTTGTGCTCAGTATGTAGTTGAAATTCAGTGTGATGCTTTACTAGTGTAGTCTACTATGTGTTACGACAGTGCGGGTCAATCAAAATTGAGAGCCAAGTGAATTTTAAAACATGGAGTGACATCATACCCTCTGAAATTTCAGAACTGTCCCACCAATTACCTCTGTCTTGTGTTTTACCTCCCACATGGCACGATCAAAGAAGGGGGCATCGGACGTCGTTCAAAAGAAGCGCGAGGGCGGAGGAAAGAATCAGCTATCCCGAAGTCAGCTTTGGCTGACATCCAGAAATGCAAGGAACTTGGAATTGAAACACACCTCCAAGCAAACAAGACCAGGAGCAGCTATGCTGGCCATGTATGCCAGGACGCGAGTGGGCTCGCGAGCCATTTTGATGCACCAAGCTGCTCCGCTGACGAGGGGGGACTGCTCAGTGCCCAAAGAGCCTTTGGTACAGCTGGTGGCACTGTCAGTGCCCTCTTTCGTTAGAGACAATCCAGACAGCGATGTGTATGCAGATCCTGCCTTCAAAGATGCGTTCGGGTGCACGCCAAACCGATGCTCCGACAAGGCGCTGGCCCTCTTCATGTCCCTGAAGGGGTTCCACGAAAACCTCAGCAAGAACACGGTCGAAAGTATCCGCGCAGCATTCAAAAAGCTCTGGGAGCAAGCGTGAGCAACACCCTGCAGGACCAGTACAGACTGAGAGTACTGACTTGTACCAGGGATGGCGGCACGTTTCGTGGAAAGTGGAGTTTCAATGAGGCGAGACACGCTGGGAGGGAAATCCAGCCGACTCAGCGGAAGTTTACGACGTGATGGCATCTGTCAAGCACAAGGCCAGCGCAGAGGGCGGAGATCGAACTCACTCGATGGCAATGACAAAAGACTTCATGGATCGCATGCTCCAATGGCATGAGGCCGCATGCCCACTGGAGATCGCACTGCAGGCCATCCAGCTAGTGATGAGCGGCACACTGCCTTCGCAGGTCCAACTGACTCTCGACACAAGGACCCAGCTCACTCGCCATCTTGAACAGGTCACTTTCGATGCTGGCGCATGGACCTTATGGAGCAGGTATTGTCCCGCCTGCCGAAATTGATGTCGCTCGCTGACTTACCATTTTGGTAGGTGCTTCGAACTCGTGAAACTGCAGCGCAAAGACATCTCGCTCGACACAATCCTGCTGGACACCGTCATGAAAAAGTATCTGGCACGCGAGCCACTGACACTCAGCGACAGCAACACCTATTTCGAAATATTCCTCTCGAACCGAAAAGGATGGCAGAAAAGGGTCGATAAGGCATCTGCGAGGCAGACCTTAGGTGTGAGTTAGATGATTAGATTAGCATGAAGTGACGCCCTGCTGATGTAGCGGTGTTATGTGCCTCACACCAGCCAACCACTACAAGATATTTCCCCGCCCCAGACATGCCTTCCTGCGACAGCTTCATCTGGATGTTGCTCTGGATCAAATGGCTCGAGTTTTTTCATTACGGGCGCACACTCGGGCCAAACGACTTCAATCTTCCCTTTGATGGGTGCCAATGGCATCATGCAGCCTGGACAGCCTCTCTCCCATGACACTGTGCAAAAGTGGATTGACGAGGCAACGACAGGTGCTGGCATCCTAGGCTGTTTTTCGACTCACTGCTTCCGCCGTGGAGGTGCCCAGTATTGGTTTATGTTCGCACCGGTTGGTCAGCGGTGGTCACTTGCCATGGTTCGATGGTGGGGAGGATGGGCTGATGGTGAACAGGTATGTGCCTTCAATGATCTACTTTTTTCTCGCTCTCACTCGTTCATTCTATTCCCAGCGAAACACGCTCATTCGTTACCTTCTCGACGAACTACACACCTATGAGACCGACTACAGTGATGCCCTCGCTCCTTTCTCCCGCGAAGCTGAATCCTCCCTTGCAGGCGAGCAGGCACTCATGAGGCCAGCATCCACTGAGGAGCTGCGCATGGTTCATGCATCCGTGACCGCAGATGTCAATCGTTTGCGAGTTGACGTCAGTGCAGTCAACGACTCGCTTCGGTCACTCACCAGCATGGTCCAGGCCACTTCAAGTTGCCTGAAGGCTGCTGGACACCTACCTCCAACACAGCTCGAAGAAGATCCCCGCTTCACCCTTCTCCGAGTCTCCGCATCTGGCAGTGCAGAGTCTCCTCAGATTTCAACTCCTCGGCATGTCCATCCACCACCAACACACTCCCGTCCTCTGTCATCTGTCCGCAGGAGCCATGGCCCACACACACTCCAACTACTCGACCACTGCCATCTGCTGCTGCGCACACAGCCTCGACTCAACAACTCCAAGCAACGGTCTTGTCATTCCACGGCTGCCACTCGTCCGTTCGAACGGGTTGAAGACTCCGAAGGCCGAGTCCTGGAGGGACATCATCACGCACTGGCTCGTCGGTGACCCCGACAGAGGGTTGAAGACGCCACTCAAGGACTGGCCGCAGGAGTGGTACCAAGGCCCGAACCGGAAGCTCGCAATGCAGTACCAGAACAGGGCCGTTGTTGCGCGCGAGTTCATCAACCAGTGAGTGCTTCGGCTGCGATCCACACGTCGGCGCTCACACATTCTTTTGTTCTTTCTTCCTCGTCACCTCCATTTACCAGTCAACGAAGCCCTCTTCCTTGCAGCCTACCCAGAAGCCGAGCGGGGACACACCCCACTGCTTGCAGCCGTCAACAAGGCACGGGCTGCACGAGGAGAGCGTGTCCGTCGCAAAATGACACGAGGACTCTCACTTCGGAACCATACCACTACTGCCGCCCACTCGAACGCTCGTAACTTGTAAGTACTATA